ACACACACACGTTTAGTCATACAAAGGTATCCGTATCCAGCCACACAGACTGAAAGACATACAGACAGACATACGTACAGACAGATGAATACACAAACGATACACGTAAACAAACAAACAAACAAACACACATACACACACACGTGTAGATCTACACAAACTGGAATAAAATAGTGTGTGCACACATACACATTACACACTCAAACATCATGTAAACAAACACACAAACAGACACACCCACATCATATGTGCCCACCCACACCCCACCCTCCAAAACTTGAAAACAGAGACCAAAAAGTACAGAAGTTACAAATCGGGCCTCCACATGTACCACACAAAGCAAAGCGTGCACGAATCGAACACTGTCGTATTATGCACACAGGGGAAGCGTCCAAACTATTCACATGCATGCCGAGGTAGGCTGGCCTTGCAGGTCGAACAGGGCGTGTTTCTTTGAATGATGACCTGTGGGGACAGAGCCACAGCATGTGTCGTGTCGCGTCCTTCTGAACAAACTTCCTCGTACAACATCTAACCTGAGATTTACACGTTATTTAGACTAGATCTAGATCTAGATAGATCTAATTAAACTTTCCCCCCAATGAAAAAAGGCAAAATATTTAGACACATAGAAATCTAATTTGAGGTTTCAAAATGACAGCCTAACCTAAACATTCAGAAATCCTTTCTCAACAGCTCTAAGGAACAGCTTGGTCTACAACTGCCATGACAGTCACTTGTTTATATTACGTTTATGATGTCTTTTAAAAATAGGTCTAGATTTCTATACTTATTAGGCATCAAGAACTCTTATCCATGAAACCAGAGAGTTTTGATGAAACTCCTCTGTGCATTCCACTTATAATGTTCGCAAAGAATGAAACACACTTCATCCATGCAAGCAAGTGGTAGATCTAGATATCTAGATTCTAGGAGGGTTTCACTAGGTCTAACTCCGTTACTTTTTCTCAGCTGTTTCTGTCAGTCTTGCTCTTTAAATTCTTCGAAACTCTTCTCGTTGCTCGGTCTGATGAAAAAAAACCCAACTCAACTATGAGACACTTACTTTGACAAGCAGTGTACTGGAAACATCTAGATCTACATGACAATTTGAAGAGGTTGGGAATTCACAGTTGTTGGAACGACGTCATGTATTAGTAAGCCATGCCACACCCCTCAAAACGCCACCTCCCACCACACATCATCACTTCCCTTCACTTTTTCAAAACAAGTTTAATTTGCCAACAGCAATGCCTACACGGGTTCAGAAGGAGCGAAGACAGAGGGCCGGGGTAAAAGGGGGGAGGGGGACTGGAATCGATATGAAAGATCAATGTAATAACAGCACCGCAGTTCGAAGAGTAATCAATAATAAATAGATCGCCTACCTGAGCAATATATCCGATTGGTAACTCCAGACCGAAACACGCACAGTACAGTTGTGTTGTATCCGATTGAGAAGGAAAAAAAACCTGAAGCTGATTTCTGTGTACTGCTAGGCTAGCCTACTCGGTGTTGAGGTAATCCTGTACTAGCCCTGCTTGAAGGACTGAGGGGTGGAGTCAGGGGGCAGAAGTTGGGTGTCTCTCTGCTCCTGTTTTTGCGGCCCTCCCTCGTCACTTCAGACCTGTGTCGGTTGAGCGGTAGCCTCTTTCTC